CCCACAAAATTTGGATTAGGACAAAGTGTTATTGCTTTTTGAGGTCTTTTCTCGCAGACGAGAAAGTAAATAAAGATATTTAATTTAGGCCTCGACGTGGTCTCGCTGAAAATAAACCCAATTCTTTGGGACAAAATACACGAACTGGGGGAAGGTTTGAAATGAGCACTGGGGAGAAACAACACTGAGGGGTGGTCCTGTTGTCATGCTCTGAAATGATGAGAGATCGGGGGGTTCTGCACCCCAGAGAGAGCCTGGGCCAGGGCCTGGGGCCTTTAGGGACAATGGGCACAAACTGAGATGCCCAACCAGCCCATTTTGGGTAAACACACACAAATCTTCAATTAAAATAACCCCTTTCCCTCGCAAATAGGCTCATTTATTAAAAAAAAACCACCCAAGCCATTTTGAGGCGAACGGCAACACCTCGGGCCCAGAGCGAGGCCTTCGCTAATAACGGTGGAAAAATCTCCCTCTTCCCCCACAAAACGTCCCATCTCCTCTTCCAAACTGGGCAAAGACAAGCTTTTAATTCACGGGTGGAAAAAAAATGAAACATCCACCCCTCAGGTCTCGCTGGTTTTTTTGGGTGGGAATTGTGGGAATTTCGCTTCATCCCCTTCCAGGTTTTAGCTTTGGGGTGGCATCGGCCTGCCCAGCACGGCTCAAATGGAATATTTGGCGAGGGAGAAGAGACATTTTAGGGTTTCCTGTTCTTCCCCAAAGGCTTTAATCTGGAAGCTAAATTTAAGGGAAAAAAAAAAAGGAGGGGGGGAGAAAAGAAGGAAACCAAATGCTGGCGGGGGGAGGAGTTTGGGGTGTTGTTTTTTTTTTTGTTCTGTTTGAATATTTTGGGTTTCCAGAGGCAGCAGATGACGCACAAATCCCAGGTGGGAGCTCATTGGATTGGCTCAGCTCCGTGTGGGGCTGTCCAGGTCACCTCATGGATCACAATCCATGGCTGGGACACCCTTGGGGACAAATAATCCCTGTGAGTTGTCCCAGGAGGAGAAGAAGAAGCTCAACCTCCACTGAACCCCCCTAAAGTTAAAATTTAACATTTTTAGAGGGGGAAAAAAAAAAAAAGGGAATTTGAGGTTTTTACACATAAAAAGTGGGTTGTTATTGCTGAAAAAATTTTGGACTTTATGATTTTTTTATTTTTTTTTACCTTTTTCTTTGCTGAGACTTTCGTTTGGATTCTCAACCCTGACGTGTTCCCACTACCCAGAAATTCTTGGCACATCTACTCTTCCCCCTCGTGTTCTTTAGTCCCTGATTTAAGACTTACAACCAGCCTTAGACACGTCTAATTAAATGAGAGAAATCAATTAAATGAGGTTAAAAAATTAAATTAGATAAATCAATTAAATTAGAGAAATCAATTAAATTAGGTGATGAAATCACAGCTGATTTCTCTCCACTGAACAAGATCTTGCTGATCTGTGGTAGCAAACATTTGAATACTCCACTTGACAGTGGATATTCCAGGACATTTCCAATGGAAATGAAACCCAAGAAAGCCAGGGAACATCTCTTCCCAAAACCCCCCACCAGCCACGTTGAAAGGAGACAGGAAAAGAAGTGAGCAGAGGGAAAAGGACAATTCCAAGGGGAAGTTTAGGAGATCAAGGCTTTCCTGCTTCCAGAGGGTGCTGGAATGTGACTCGAGGCACTGGGAAGAGCTCCTGGAGTCCCTGCACAAGTGGGATCACATTTCCCATTCCAAGAGCCACTTTTGGGGGTGTTTCTCCCTCCCAAATCCGGGTGTGTGCTGGAAGGATGACCCACAGAATCCCTCTCCTCAAAAAAAAAAAAAAATCTCCTTTCCCGTCCTGGTTCTGGTCTCACAGTGTGTCTTCCTCACTTTGATTAATCCATTTATATCCCGGGATTTCCATCCTTTAGGGATGAAGCTGCAAGGTGAGAGAGGGAACAGCAGATTCCAAAATCAAGGTGCTGATCCAGAATTCCTCTCATCCACTAAGACTCCTGGATACCTCTGAAACCTGCATTTTTCCCTTATTAAAATGTCAATTAAATGAATATTAAGGAGAGAAGAAAGTTGGAGAAATCCATGAATCCCTGACAAATCAATGCCCTGACTGAGCTGATGGGAACCTGCCAGTTTATCCCAGGAAAACAACAGGCTCCTGAAACGCCCTCGGGGACGTGATGGGCAAACGAGAGGAAAACCCAGGTCGCCACTGCACTGCAGGAAGTTCCAAATGTGTTTTCCTCATTCCCAAAGAAATCCAGAGGCTTTAAAGTGAGAGAGATGATGGGAGGGTTGAGTTCCACTCCAGTGGGATTTGTCCAAGGATTTTCATCAGCTTCTGCCCCACCTGGATTGGAGTCTTTGCAGTCTCCCCTTGAATTCCAGGACAAAAGGAAAGGTGGGTTTGTGGCTTGAAGGCAGGAGAGGAGAATCCAAAGCTTGGAATCCAAAGCTTGGCTCTACCACAGACCCTCCTCGGAGGCGGGAGGGGAGGTGTTGAACATCCCTGTGCCTCAGCTCCCGGGAATTCCAGCCCTACCAAACTTCCAGGCCACCTCGAGTGACATTTCCCTCTCTCTAAAAAAACCCATAAAAAGATAGGAAGGTGTCCCAAATCCCACTCTCTGCTTCCAAAAGCACCCACCAGGGGCTGGTATGGAGCAGATAAATCACCACCCTGCGCTGCAGTCACAGCCAGGCAGGGGCAGGAGCCATTCCAGGTGGGAATTTTTGGAATTTAAGTGCTGAGTGGGTACACACAGCCCTTGACATGAAGCAGGGGCAGGGAGAGAAGGCAGTGGGATAAATCAGCTGGGATTTTCCAGAGCTCAGCAGCTCTGCAGGTAACACTTGCAGAGTGTTACCTGAAGATGTGCAGAGTGCAGATGTGGCACCTCTCCCACCAACACCTTCCTCTCCTGGCCCTGCTCCTTTCCCTGGGGTGTCTCCCTTGGCTGCAGGACAAGGCAGATCAGGAAGCTGATTCAGTTGGAAAACAAAGCTCCTCCAAAAAGGCTCTTCCTCGGGTCAATCCACTCTGCCAATCCTCGGGTGTTGAAGGGGATCCAAAGGAGCAAAGGAAGTCACGGGGTTGGTGACAACAAAACTGGGCTCTGGGAGGGTTTGTAGGGGTGGAGTCACATCCCTGGAGGTGTCCAAGGAATAACTGGACATGACACCGGGAGACAAGGTGGGCACAGGGTGGACTTGATGGTCTTTGAGGGCTTTTCCAGCCTCAATGATCCTGCGATTCCATGAGCTTGGAGTGTTGGTGGGAGCAGGTTTGTAGGAAGAAGTCCCCGGAAGGCTCCTTGGAGAAGCAGATCTGTCTGGAACAAGGGTACCCCCCAGTCCCTGGAAGCATCCCTGGTGCCCACAGCCATGGATTCACCTCCCAAATTCCTCTTCTCTCTCCACGCCCAAGCTGGAACACTGGAGGTTCGGGGGTGAAGGATAAAACCCCGGAGCAGGGATGTGGAAGCGCTCCACGTGTTGCAGAGTTTGCTCCAGGATCTGGTGCAGAGCAGCTCCAAACCAGCTGTGGGGTCAAAGACTCCTTTCCTGTGACCCTTGTGGTCAAGAGTTTCCCTGGAGAGACATGACTCCCGAGGCCAAAGCCACTCCTTGTTGACCTGGGTCAGGGATTTTAAGCAGGGACTTTCTCCTTTCCCAAACATCCCCAGCACTGGGATTTCCTCACTGGCTTTTCCTGTCTGCAGGGTTGTCCCTCCATCAGAGTCGCTCCAGGATGTGGGATAGGATGGTCCCAGGAGGATCTTGGCTCTCCAAGCAAATTCCTTCAAGGGCAGCTGAACGTGGACCTCCCCCCTCCCCACAACTCTGCAGAAAAGGCGGGAGAAGTTTCCCCCTTGGATGGCAGCAGGAAGTGCTTCCCTGAGGATCTCCCCAAAACTCCTGCCTCGTTGTGAGCTGGGCCTTTTTCCTTCTTTGGAATGACAAACCAAGCAGAGATTTGGACACAGGAGACAACTGGAAAGCACCCCCAGGACTGATGTTGCTCCAGGTCCCAACTGCTCTGCCCCTGATATCTGCAGCTGGGGGCTGATGCATCTCCATTGGGAAGGTGATGTTGCCCTTCCCAGGCTTTTTTCTCGAGGTCTGGAGTGAGGGAAGAGGGAAAGGGATGAGATCCTCCATCTGACAGCCCCACCTGGCCTTGGGGGATCAGCAGAACAGACACCAGGTCCCAGTTCCTGCATCATCCAAGGAGGAAAGGACCGGAGCAACCGCTTTTCTAGTGTCCAAGGGCATCTGTAACCTAAAAATCTGGGAATGGCGGCTCTTCTGCAAAGTGGGAAGAACTTTTCCAAACCAAAAAACCCTCCTTCCACCATCCCAGAGAATGTCTGGCAGCTCCCTGCCTCGTCCGTGAAGCGGTAGCAGGAATTTCTGGGGTGTTCCAGCCTAAGGAAACATTCCTTGGGAAAGGTTCAATCAGAAATCATTCTGCCTTTTGGATCTCGCAGATGAATTGGATCTAATTACCTGCTTGAATGATTGATTGAAGTCTTTCTCTCATCACCTTCTTGCCCAGAGTGTTGCCATCAGGGTGATTCCTCCTCGGATGGAGCCGGAGCTTTAATCCCTGAACAGCTTTTTCCCAAGGCAGGACTTGTGTCCACGAGACTAAATGACAGTATTTTAGATTTCCTTCTGCTCCAGTCACTGAACCAGGTCTCAAAACAGCACCTAAAAACCCCTGGGGTTGGATCCTTTGCTCTCCTTGGGACAGAGCCCAAAATCTGCTTGTCACTCACATCCAGCTCCTCATCCCTCCCCGAACTGCTCCTGACGATTAAGGAGGGATCAATACCAAACGTAGGGAAAAGCTGGAGCAGCTGGTGTTTCTCAGATGTCCCCAGCCCCCGGGGTGGGCAGGTGGGCCGGGGACAACAGAAGGAAATGCCTCTGCATGTGCGTTTTTAATGAGGTGTTAATTGGGCAGCGGGTGAACGGGACAAAGCAGCAGCAGAGGATGTGGCTTGAGGGTTTGGCTGCTGGGAAGCAGGAGGCTGGGAATCAAAGGAAAGACAGGATTTGGGGGCCTCTTGCTGCCGTGTCCAACGGGAGAGGGACACCAGGTGGGCAGGGAACTCTGCTCTGGGGTCAGGGCTGGATTTGGGGATTCTGGTTTGTCCCCTTCTCTCAGGGAAGAGAGGGACAGGGGCCAGGAGCCCCCCCGGGACTGGCTGGGTGGGGTGGGGTGGCCCAGCTGAGCCCCGGTGCCAGTCATTAAAGTCATTAACACATGGGAGTGAGGAAAGAACCCCCCGGGGGGGGGGAAGGGGGGAATTACTGGGCTTCCCACAGAGAGAGCTGCTCCTGCTCCTCCTCCAGCCCCACAGCCGGGAGCGGATCTGCAGCCCAAGAGAGAAGGGAAGGGGAAGAAAGAGGCTGAGCTGAGCTTGGGCCCTTCTGAGGAGAAGAGAGAGAGTGTTTGGCAGAGGGAAACGCAGAAGGGGTGTTGGAGGGAGGCTTTTCTGCACCACTGGGGGCTGGTTGGGAAGGACCTTTGGAATTTGGATTGGTGAATGAGTCCAGAGGAGGCCCCGGAGATGCTGCCAGGGCTGGAGCCCCTCTGCTCTGGAGCCAGGCTGGGAGAGCTGGGGGGGTTCCCCTGGAGAAGAGAAGGCTCCAGGGAGAGCTGAGAGCCCCTGGCAGGGCCTGAAGGGGCTCCAGGAGAGCTGGAGAGGGACTGGGGACAAGGGATGGAGGGACAGGACACAGGGAATGGCTTTAACTGAAAGAGGATAGATTTAGATTGGATATTAGGAAAAATATTCTTTCCTGTGAGGGTGGGGAGGGACTGGAATGGATTTGCCAGAGAAGCTGTGGCTGCCCCTGGATTCTTGGAAGTGTCCAAGGCCAGGTTGGAGCAACCTGGGCTAGTGGAAGGTGTCCCTGCCCATGACAGGGGTGGAACTGGATGATCCTTAATGTCCCTTCCAACCCAAACCACTCCAGGATTCCCTAATCTTGGCAGAGCTGATGTTCCCTCCCATGCACTGCTTGGGCTTTGGGTACAATCCCATGACTTTTGCACCCTCCTGACCCTTTGGCATTTGGAATTCTGCTGCAGAAGAACAAGACAGCTGTGACAAATTTGCTTCCCAACATCCTGTGCTGAAAGATCTTCCCCAAACCCAATATTTTGGGGTTCTTCTGCCGCTGAGCTCCGTGTGTGGGGCTGAGGGGAAGGGCTGGGACAGGCACAGAGGTATGAGAGATAAAATATGGGGTTTTATATGTAGGAGTATCACAAAGCTGTAGGATATCCAAGTTCCAAATGGGACTGGGTGTCAGGGTCTTTTTTGGCCGGATAAGGGAAATGTAAAAGTTCCTAAAAATTAAAATCTTTCAGGGCCACGTGGAAATTTTGTACATGGGGGGTTTCTTCCCTCTCTTTGGGCTGAGAACAAAGGAAGATCCATCATTTCTGACAGAGGACTCCTCGCAGCCGATCTTCAGGGAGAAGAAACATTTTTAGGCAAAAAATGAATATATTAAACTCACCTGAAAAGGGTGGGATTTTGTGAAACTCTAAAATGTATAGAATTTAAACCCAAAGGGTCTTTTTCCTCCCAGAAACTCTGCGAGATAAAGACCCGGCGTGCCGAATAAATGCTTTGCTTTGTCTTTCTACGTTTAAAAGAGGAATTTTTTTCCCCACAGGAGGGGCCCAGCTGTGGAATTCCGGGGTGCTGTGGGAACACTCACCGTGCACCTTGGGCACCTTGGCTTTCAGGTGCCGCTCACACTTGGCCTTGGCCTTCAGCAGGAGGAAGATCTGCTCCTCCTTGGTGATGACATCGTCGGCGTCCACCTGCACGGGGGGAGAGAGGGGCAGAGCTCAGCAGGGCACGGAATTCCTTGGGCTGAGGGCAAAATGTCCTTTGCACCCACAGCTTCAGAGAATCATGGAATCAGCTGGGTTGGAAGGGACCTCCGAGATCATCCAGTCCAACCCTTGATCCAACCCCGTTGTGGTTCCCAGCCCATGGCACTGATGCCACATCCAGTCTTATCCTAAAAACCTCCAGGGATGGAGAATCCCCCACTTCCCTGGGCAGCCCATTCCAATGGCTGAGCACCCTCTCTGCAAAGAAATTCTTCCTAATGTCCAACCTAACCCTCCCCTGGCACAGCTGAAGACCGAGCCCTCTTGTCTTGCTGATGGTTGCCTGGGAAAAGAGACCAACCCCCCCTGGCTCCCCCCTCCTGTCAGGGAGTTGCAGAGAGTGAGGAGGTCTCCCCTGAGCCTCCTCTTCTCCAGGCTCAACAGCCCCAGCTCCCTCAGCCTCTCCTCCCAGCACTTGTGCTCCAGTCCCTTCCCCAGCCTTGTTGCTCTTCCCTGGACCTGCTCCAGCCCCTCCATGTCCTTCCTGAGCTGAGGGGCCCTTCCTCTCCGGCCTTGCCCGGTGACTCCCAGTTTTCCCTGCAATCCCAATTTTCCTGAGCGGCACTGCCTGGAATCATCCACCTCCAAGGCAAAGGAGCAGCTGCTCCCGTCACACACGCACAAAAAGGCAGCAATTTTGGAGCTGAGTGCCCCAATCCACGAGGAAAAAAGATCCTAGGAAATAATGTTGGAGCAAGGAATGTTCTCCTCTTAAGGATTTCAACCTGTCGTCATCGTTCCAGTGCAAATTCCACCTCCTCGTGGAGACCTTCAGGCTCTACAAAAGTCCAGAGGGGGGATGCCCCAGGCAGAGGTGACAGCATCCCAAAAACTCAGGGAAAAGCCATTGGGAACATCACCCTGGGAAGTTCCCCTGGAGAAGAGAAGGCTCCAGGGAGAGCTGAGAGCCCCTTGCAGGGCCTGAAGGGGCTCCAGGAGAGCTGGAGAGGGACTGGGGACAAGGGATGGAGGGACAGGACACAGGGAATGGCTTCAAGATGAAAGAGGGCAGATTTAGGTGGGATATTGGGAAGGAATTCCGGGCTGGGAGGGTGAGGAAGGACTGGAATGGATTTTCCAGAGAAGCTGTGACTGCCCCTGGATCCCTGGAAGTGTCCCAGGCCAGGTTGGAGCACCCTGGGCCAGTGGAAGGTGTCCCTGCCCCTGGCAGGGGTGGGATGAGACGATCTTTGAGGTCCCTTCCAACCCAAACCATCCTGGCATTCCATGATTTCCTTGCACTCCCCAAGCCCTTTCTCTCCAGGATTAAGGTTCCTCCACTCCTTTCTGAGTTCATTCATTTTGCAAAGGCAGGGATGTGAACCAGCTGGAGGCCGGTTGGTTCTCCAGCAAAACTCCCTCCAAGTGACAGAGTGAGGGTTAATAAAATAAAACAAATAAAAATAAATAATTAAAACCAAATAAAACCAAATAAATAAATTAAAACAAAACAAAACTAAACTAAACAAAACCAAACAAATAAAACCAAATAAATAAATAAAAATAAAAAAATAAAAACAAAAAATAAAATAAAAATAAAAAATAAAAATAAAAAAATAAAAATTAAAATTAAAAAATGAAAATAAAAATTAAAATAAAAGATAAATAAAAATAACAATTAAATAAAAAAATAAATAAAATAAATAAAAATAAATATAAAAATATAAATAAATAAAATAAATGAAAATAAAATAAATAAAATAAAATAAATAAAAATGAATAAAAGTAAATAAAAGTAAATAAAAGTAAATAAAAGTAAATAAAAGTAAATAAAAATAAATAAAAATAAATAAAAATAAATAAAAGTAAAGCCAGAGCCCCTTTCCCAGCGAGCTCCTCTGGGGAGGGCCGGGGATGTTTGAGCAGCTGGAGAGGGGATGGACAGGCGGAGGGAGGGGCAGGTCTGATAAGGGCACTCCGAGGAAAACAGGAGTTAGTTTGTCGTGTCCTTGGACTAAATCCAGGTGGGAGTCACTTCCTAAACCACGTTAATGCACAACAAAGCCTCCCCTTCCCAGATGTTTGGCCCGTCCACAGTTAAGGGAACATCCCCCAGTTCAGTTTTCCCGGGAAAAACGGAGCCCCGGGGGCAGAGCCCGCTGTCATTCCTGCACAGCCCCGCAGTGATCCCACAAATCCTCGGGATTTCTCCCCTCCGACCTCAGGCATTCCCAGGATTCAGCCCTGGAAGCAGAGCAGCTCCAGCCCCAGGGATGTGCAGCCTCCAGGCCGGGCTCAACGAAGACATTTGCAATTCCCAGGAAAGGAGATGAATCTCCAAGTGCTGTGCCCGGAGCTGGGCAGGACAACTGGGATACAGCTCTTAAATTTCCTGCCAGACCTTTAAAAACCCACCAAAACCAACTCCAAATTCTCTCCTCTCCCCCCAGAAAAACTGATTTTCGTGGTAAAAGTGTATTTAAGGCACGTCTTTCTTGGGCAAAGAGGCTGAGACGTGGTTTTAAACAGATATATAGAGATTTTCACTCCATCCTGCCACTTGAAGATATCTATTCCCAAGAGATTTGTAGGAAAGTTAATCCCTAGAGAATAACTGGCATTAAATACCCAGTGCTGAATAACTCCCATCAAACACCCAAGACAAACTGGGCTGAGCTGGTGGGGCTGAATTTGTCCCCTCCTGTCCCCAACCCTCCTTTCCAGCCCTTGCCGAGGAATTCCAGCGAGGAATCCTCAGGGATTGAGGGCTGGGAAGTACAAGCAGGCTGAGTGATCCCCAGGGATTGGGAATAATCTGCTTTATCAGGCACTGGGATGGCTCTGATTTGGGTTCAAGGGACAGCAGGTGGGACAGGACCCACAGCTGGAAAATTTTCCAACCGCTGGAGAAATTTTAACTGTTCAGCACCACATTTTCCCCCTTTTCCTCTGGTTTTGCAGAATTTCGGCTCCAGGAGGAACAAGGAGGGGTGAAAACGCAGCACAATTCCTGTAAGCAAATCCCAGAGTGGATCCAACAGAGCACCAGACAATTTAATGAATTATTAAATTAGCAAATCCACCAGGAGCTGTTAAAAACTGCCACCTGGATGCAAAATTCCTGGATACAGGAATGTCTGAAACTGCTGATGGCCAAAAGCTGGAAGGTAACAACCTTCTTTTTCCTCAAACTGGGGATGGTCTAGGACAGAAGATTGACCAAAAAAGCTTATTTTCATATTTCTATATCCATAGATTTTCTATTTTTCTAAGACACAGAAACCTCGTGCCCTGCTGAGAACCCAAAAATCACATTTAAATTCAGAATTTGCTCCAATTTAACACACTCAGCACCATCCACTCTGCGTATTCCCTGCTGTCCAGCACCAGGAAAAAGGAGATAAAATGTGCTAAAAGTGTTTTCATCCCAGTGAAAACCACATTCCAACCCCAAACCTTTCATCCTGCAGACAACAAAAAGGAACAAAAAGAGGTGTTTTACCAGCATAATTCCTGCCCTGGTGACCAACTGGGAATATCCAGGGTGGGATTCACCAACCTGAGCTGTTCAGTCCTTTTATAATCCCTGAGGATTGAACTGCACAGAGCAGCTGGAATTCATTCCATCCTCATCCCACCTCCTGAAATCAATTGGATCAACTCTGGGTTTATTTTTTTCCCCCACCTTCTTTTTTTTGCACTAATTAGCCCATTTTCCACCCAAAATCTCTCATTTAAACTCCTTAACCAACAAAAAGGAACAAAAATAGGTGTTTTTCCCTGTATAATTCCTGCCCTGGTGACCAACTGGGAATATCCAGGATGGGATTTGCCAATCTGAGCTGTTCAGTCCTCTTACAATCCCTGAGGATTGAACTGCACAGAGCAGCTGGAATTCATTCCATGCTCAAACACCTCCTGAAATCAATTGGATCAGCTCTGGGGCTTTTTTCCCCCCCATCCCTTTTTTTACATTAATTGGCCACACTTGGAGCCCTGAGGGGATTTGGGGAGTTCTGGGAGCAAGAGAAGCCCCCGAGGGAAATCAGATCCAGTGTCACCCCCAGGGACACCTCCCAGATGCAGGGTTTGGAAGGAAGAGGTCGAGGTTATCGTGGCCCTGCAGGATTTAATCCCTCTAAAAGCACTGCCAGGAAATCCCTTTCCAAACGAGCCTTCCCGACATTTCTTCTGCGTAAACTCCTGCCGTGAATTTCTTGGAATCCAGTTATCCCAGGGATAAATGTTCTCTCCAGGGGTTCAGGGCAGCACACAGGTGAACTCAGGACAGTTTGTCCTCCCCTCCTGCTCCCCTGGACCAGGTGCAGCTGGAAGGGCTGGAAACTCCTCCCTGGGCTCCCCAGTTTTGGGATCAAACCCCCTCTGCTCCTCTTTCTCTGTGTTTATCCCCCCTCAGCTTCCCTGGGCTGTTTTCTGCCAGAAAAATAAAACTCCTCGTGGGGAAGAGATCCAGGAATGTTGTTTTTATCGCTCTCCTTGCTCAGAGACAGCCAAGCAGGGAAGGGGGACACAACAACATTATATCCAGAGGCAGGTCAATCAGTTTTGGTTCATTTTTCCCCTCCCTTTCCCATATTTTTTTCCCCTTTTCCCTTTCCTTTGCCCCCACAGGAGGCCAGGGGTGGGCTGATGTTCTCTGGGATCTCCCAGCCACTGAAGCAAACCCCAAATCTCCCAAATCAGCCTTGTTTCTGGGGCTCATTTTCCCAAATAACACCGTCCTTTTTCTGTGAGCCTTCCCTGGCAGCTGCTCCAAAAGCAGCTCCAGGCCCAGCAGATTCCTTGGAGAGCATCAGGAAGGCCCAAGGCAAGGGAGGGCTGGTGAACACCTTGCAGGAGAGCGGGAATCACTGGTGGGAAGTGGGAAAGGGGGTGCAGGAAGGAGGGGGCTCAGGAGAAAAAGGAAATAGGAAAATATTACAATTCCAGAACGGTTTGGGTTGGAAGGGACATTAAAGATTGTC